GTCGCTTTTAGCCGGCCTTGCCGGTAACGAGGCGACCGGCGAGGAGACGCCGGCGGCGACGGGGTAGTATGGCCACTGCTCGGCAGACGATTCTTCGCGTGCATTTGAATCGACGGATCTCTCTCTCCCTCCCCCGTTGAAAATTCCGGTTCCCCTCCTCCTTCGTCACACGCGCTACGTCATATGTCAACGCGCCGGCGGCGGATGGGGATTAACGCCGAGACGTAGATAATTTTCCGGCGGTGGTGGCCGAATTCGAAGTAAAACACCGCGAGCGAGAGAGACTTTTTTTCGTGAGGTGGAGGCGTGACCGATCACATGCACCCCCTCTTCTGTCTTTTTTTCGTTTGTTTTCTCCTTTATTTTTTTTTAAATAGAAAAATATTTATGCAAATCTTGCTCGGTTCCATTTAAACGGATATTATCACCAGAGTAAGACTTAGGTTTTGAATAATTCCCTCTTTAGAATAATTTCCTTTTTCGTCTAATGAGAATTTATCTGTATATACTTCTGAGATGGGGAAGAAGTAAAAATTTACCCCAAAGAATGCTTTTTGGTTTGGATCATAATAAACCGAAAACCCATCTATATTTTTAAAATTGTATATTTTTTTTATGAAATTTAAAATTTTATAATTGGGTCAACATATAGATACAAATATAAAAAACTTAATTATTTCATCACACAAGAGAAAGAAAACTAACACGACAAGTAATGTTTTGATTCTATGCTTTATGTCCATTTTCCCATCTTCCTTTCAGGAACGGCACGTGCTATGATAATGTGATTTAAATCCTTTTTTTTTAATTAAATTAAACTCTCCAAAACCAAAAGATATAATTAGTGTTATTAATAAACATACTATAATGTACAAACATATTAAAAAAATGGTCATCTAGTTAAATAATTGAGGCATACAATACAGCAATGGCGGTCGCATGTGCAATATCACAGAGTGGCAACAGTGACATTCTTTTTTATTTATTAGTAACAGTATTATATAAGCTCGGCATCATCACATCACATCATATGGAAGCATTTCCCACTGATTCCGCATCTAGAAAATGTCTTAAATCATTGGGATCTCAAAATTTTCCAAACAGAAGAACACCTTACATTGAAAAGAATGTTCATCACATTTGCTGTTTGGTATTTAAAAAAAAAACAAAACTAATCCTCCCTCTTCCTAAATTCAACATCATAATGAATGATCCTTCCCTCTTCCTAAATTCTTCTTCTACTTTAATACTCTCTCTTAATCAATCTCCTTTCATATGAATCGTGGATTTTAGCCAAACAAATCCATCGACATCCTCCCTTCTCACATATACACTCTCTCTATTACCAATTCAAACAGAGAAAATATGCGTTTTCTCAAACGCATTTCATCAACATCACAAATCCAAACCATATGCAGAAACGAGCCCTCTCGCGAGTCAACTCGTTTATACTGAGTTGGATTAAAAAATATGAACCCCCAAAACGGGTTTGATAACCAACTCGTTACGAGCCAAACTCATCACAGACAAGCACGACCAGCCCGCGAACTTGTTTGTAAGCATTTTTTTATTATATTTAATATTATATAATATTTTAATTATTTTTAAATATTTTTACTTTTTTACTTTTTATTCGACTCACAAACTCGAGCGATTTGGGGCGAGACAGAATTTCTTGACTCGTGAAAAACGGGTCACAATCGAGTCAGACCCAAAACGAACTGGTTAAGACCGAGCCGGGCCGAGCCAGCCGTTTTGCACCCCTGCATAGCTACCCTAAAAAAAGGGACGCTTGCATAAAAAAGAGAGACCAAGCCAAAAAAAAATAAAGGAGATGAATAAAGTGGATGCGGACTAAGATAGCTCCTGAGAGGCAGATTTCAAGTTTCAACTGGGCAATGATGATGACAAACGTCTATGGACATTGTCCAAAGTTAGTCGACTGCCAATGATTTATCCCACGTAATGCACACACTAATAAACCTCAAACTCGGTTTGGCAACTTAAAGCTTTTTTCTCCATCACTCGTCGTGCAGTGTGCCCATGATGTCTTCGTCCCTGAAGAGATGAAACCTGCATCCATCATACCAGCAATCAGCTGAATTACTTACGTGATTCAAATTGCACACTTTCTTGAACATGTTATCAACGTTATACTGAGGTTTTCATGTCGCATACCAAGACGGACACAATGGTCAAATCAGCAACCCATCAACGTTTCTAATTCTACCCATGAAAACAAGTCCAATAGCCCTTTCTCAACAAGCGCGGCTTTAGGGATGTTACTTTACAACCATTTACCGTGATCTCTATCTATTAATCTGTGGGCGCAGGCCAAAATCTAGAAGATTTGCCAATGAAAAAACAATGGGATCGGATTTTCTGCGTACGGTGTTTCTCTGAACAATTCCGACTCAAATCTAGGAACGCTGGGAATAACGGATCCACGGGATCGGAGCCTCCGATCTAATAGAACTGTAGAAGGAAGAAAGTTTGAAATACATACTCGTTTTCGCCGAGCTTGACTTGAGTACCACCGTACTCAGGAAGAAGAACAGTGTCGCCTTCCTTAACCGAAACCGGAATCAATTTGCCGTCCCTGTCCCTTGAGCCCGGTCCCACAGCTATGACCTTACCAGAGTTCAGCTGCAACAACGCGGAAAATGTTCACCGATCAGAACTCTCCGGGGAAACCAGAGTGTCAAATCGTCGGGGAAAAACCCCCCACACTTACTTTGGCTGATTTCTCCGGGAGGAGAATGCCGGCGTCGGTTTTCGCCGGCTGGGCGATTTTCTGCACCAGGACGCGGTTGAACGTCGGAATCAGACGCTTCATCATCTCCGAACGATCTGAACTTTTCTCCGGAGAAACGCTCAAAGGATACTACGGGTTTTTGGGATTTGAAGCTCGAATGCGGAAGGGTTCTACGGATCGGACAATATGTTAGGGTTTTAGGGAATTTTGGGGATTTTTTTCCAGCGGCCGTGGGGGCCCACACAACCAAGCTATTGATTTCTTCATGGACACATATTGGGCTTTATTCGGACCATCTTTGATTTATAATTAGAAATGGGCCGGCCCATTAAATACGTAACTGTAGGCTAGGTCCATAACAAACGACAACGTTTTGAAGGATGGTCAACAATGGTGAGAATTTGGAGGCAAAATAGCAAAAGTACCCTTACTTTGCTACAAAGACTTCATGGTATACCCTTCAAAACCCTAAAATTTTGAAAAAAAAATAAAAGGAATAAAAGACATAATTAACCCTCTCACAAAAGTAACGTGATACTCCTCTCTTCATTTTGAATTCACCTCTCTTGTTTTCATTCTTTGACAACTCTTCATTTCTTTCTTAACTTTCTCTCTCTACTCTTATCTTTCTCTCAACTTTTCCATTTTCTTTCTTCTCATTTCATTTTTATACATAGAAAAACAAACGAAAAATGATTATTTCGTTGAGCATATCTTCACCGACGACCTCATATCTTCTTCTTGAGTCGGTCTAAGACAGAACAAATGACAAGAACCGAAGGTAAACTCATTAATACAAGAGATTGGTTTGATGCATAAACTTTGTGTTTTGTGTTTGCGTTTTATGATTTTTAGAGTGAATCGTGTGGTTTTTTTTATTTATGAAAATGAGATAGATGCATAGCAAATCTGTCGAAGAATATGTAAGAGGCGCATATTAATTCCAAATATTTGTTTTGGTCACACTGGTCATACTAGTCACACACACTAGTCCCACTGGTCACACCGTTCAAAATTT